GGCCCGCGGCCTGTGACCACCGAAGGCCAGGCAATCTCACCCACTCATCTTGAGTCATATATTATTCGGCTGTTTATGGTGCGTGTGCGCGCGCGCGCACGCGCCCCTGGCCGACGAAACCAGAGACTGGCGACGGGCTGTTTGCCTGGGGGCCGGGCGGCCGGCCGGCCAGCCGGCGGGTTCGCCGGGGGACGCCCCCCGGTCCCACTGCCTGGGACGGGCGGACATCATCCGGCCCCGCGCGCCGGCCCAAGCGCGTGCCTCACCTCCCCGGGGCCGGGCGCGCGGTCGCAGGCGGGGCCCGGCCCATCCCGGGCAGCGGGGCTGCTTCTTCGGGAGAACGTGCGCCGGGCGCCCCCCAGCGCGAACAGGCCCCGGGCATGCCGCGAGTTGCGCAGGGCGGGGTGGGCGCGTCCGCCCGGCCGCCAACAGGGGCACGCCTCCCCTCCCCCAGGGCAGGCCGGCAGCGGACAGTCCCCGGCGCGGCGGGCGCGCCCCCACGGCCGGGAATGCACGGTTAATATGCCGCCTGCGCTCGGGCCCGGTGCTCATCCCCCGGCCGTCGTGGCCCCCGGGCGCTGCGCCAGCCCGAGCCCGGCCGCGGCCGGCCAACCATTGGCAGGAGCCACATAGGCCCCCGGCATGCCCCGGCGCTCTGCGGCCACAGGGGCGACCCCCGAGGCGGGCGCCGGAGGTACGAGCGGCGCGTTCTCACGGCCTCGCGCGATGGTCGCCATCGGCGGAATGCGGCCGTTCTGGAGTGAACCAGTACACGTGATGTCCCGTTCGAAGGCCGACACCCGGAACATGTCGCAGGGGGTGCGCGCCCCCCGGGGAGAGACATGCATGCCGCCGGTGCGGCGGGACGCCGTGCGGTCTGTCTCACTCTCTCTGTCACAAGTGCGCGCGGTGCTTGCCCGGTGGCCGGTGGGCACCGGCCGGCATCCGCCCTGGCCCTGACAGGCCCCGGCGCCGGGAGAGCTGTCTCGCCCCGGGGGTCGGGCCGGCGCCGGGGACGCGGGGCTGCGCGCCTGTCCGCCGGGGAAGCCTCCCCCTCTCGGGCCGGGCCCCGTCCGGCGCCCCCCGGGATTGTGGGTGGACTTCGGCCCGGCGGCCGGGCGTCCAGGGGGAGGGGGGAAGGAGGAGGCCGCGCGCCCGGCGCAGGACCAGGCAATGGTCCCAGGGCATGAGCCAAGAGTGGGACCGGAATGCCCGGCCGCCAGGGCATGCCCCCCTCCCTGGCCGGAGGACGGGGCGCATGCCGGCGGAGGTGCGTCGGCCCCTGGCACGGCGCGTCCCGGCGACGCCGGGGCCCCTGCCGGCCGGAAGCGAGGGCCCCTCTGCCCGTGGCAGGCCGGGCCGGCATCCGACCATCCAGCCCCAGCAGGCGGTCGCACCAGCCGCGGCGCTGCCAGGGCTCGGTGCTGGCGGCGGCCCGGCGTGTAACAGGCCGGGCATGTGGCCGGAAGGCGCGAGGGCCGCCCGCCGGTCGTCCGCCACACCGCAGCCCCGCTCTCGAGCGTGGCCCGGCCGCCAGGGCAGCCAAAAGGCGGCATCCCCGGAGCGGGCCCCGGCGGCCGGGGAGCAAGGCCCGATGCCCGCCACGGCCCCAGGCCAGAGAGGCGCAGGCTGGCCACATCCGCGAGGCATGCCGCCACGCATGGCCCGGGGGCCGGGCTCAGGTGCCGGCCACGCGGGCGCACGCACGCATGCCGGGCACGTCCAGCATGCTGACACTTGGCAAAGTGCGATGCGTGGCGCCCCCAGGCAGACAGAACACAAAACAATGCCAAAGATGGTGCACTGTGCAAGCGCCCCGAGCAGTGTCCCCCCCCCCCCCC